TCGCACAGGGCCTTCGATCTAATCTTGGCTTCAGCTCGAATTACTTCAGCTCGAATTTTAATGAAAATTTACCCATGTAAGGAAAGGCAATCTATGCCGAAAAGCCAAGAAGCCCTGTATATTTGTTTCACCCTTATTGGGAATCATCAGCAATGTGCACTTCTTGAAACTCCCGGCCGCCTCGAATGAGCAACTTCCCGGTTAGCCAATTTGAGCACAATCATTCGATTGCATGATCAGCGGTGTAATAGCTCACGTGCCGACGAATATGTCCCAGATCATCCTTCGATCACTGGATCCACCTCACCTAATCACATGTGCTGACTGCTTCCTTGAGCGGCGACGGAAGTTTCCCTCACCGAATGACTTTTGCTGTTCCTCTCATCCACTTATAGGTTGTTGGTGGTGCGAAAGGATTTGGGAAGTTCGATGAAAATTTCATGCTAATCTATCAGCTGACCGTATTGTTCACTAAAAAAGGAATTCTGTGGTCCCGTCGAAGCATCTAAAACTGTACTAAATGCACGATCAGTTTTTCTTGTTGTTCGGTGCCAACCAACTATCCATCTCAGCGAAACAACGCCTATCCTATCTGTCCTCTCGAAATTCAGCCAGTTCAGTCAATCAATGAATTGTTTCCAATCAGTACTATTTAACCATTTTTTATTTTATCTTACTATTTATTTACTATTTCATTTACAATTTTTATTTATTTTATTTTATTTATTCATTGTTCATTTACTATTTACTATTTAGGCGTAATCATGCTGTTTTCTCAATTCAACGCTGCTTAACCGTGTACACAAAACCAACCTTTTAAGCAATAAGTCATGTTCCTCTAAGGAGCAGCTATAAATCCCGTCCGGTTGAGTTTTTCATTATGCGGATTCTTTTAGGCTAGTGATCAAATTCGTTACCTTAAATAAAATAAACCGAACAATCTATTCTAAGCTGTGGAACGGGTAATACTCTGTATGAGTAACTATCACGTCTGTAGATTTCTAACATCCTCCTTTAGACCCCGGCGCCCCAACTGACTTGGATGTCAACGTTGGTTACAATTACCTAACGGCCTCCTGGAATTACACATCCAACTGCACTTCACCACGGCAAACACAATTTCTCCTGACGCCCTACGATGAACTTGGCCAAAAAACCGGCAGACAAATGATTACAGAATCCAGTACGAAAGACATTGCGGTTCTGCAATTTCGGAAGTGTAAGGAAGTATCCCTCGGCGTGCGTCCACTCATGGGAAGTGAAGTGAGGAAGCGATTTAGAATTCCAGGTAGGCTACACTATTCTCCCCACGAGCCTTGCAAAATATGCTATGTTCAACAGGACTTGATCGAAACGCAAAGTAGCCGCACATGTAGTTGGAAAAAAGTTCTAAATGCTCTCATTATGTGTTTACTCAAAGTAACCTAAGCATCTGGTTGAGATAAAGCTGCATGACAATTCTTATAAGCCTCACAGAAATAGCTGCCAATTGATAGATGGTGAAGAATTTTAACGGCAATATAATATTTGCCCAGTTTAGTTTGAGAGGAGTCCAAACATTCGACTCGTACACCAATCTGCATACCGGTTTGGATTTGGATGTAGACTCACATGGAACCTAGCTGACTTTCTCGTTTAGTATGCTTTAGCTCACTTGAGTATGCTGCACCAGATCGCCTCATGGTTCTGGAGATCACAATACATTGTGTAGACGCAAGATACTACTCATAAGGCTGCTGAAAATCTTGATGATCTGTTCGTGTTTGCAAGAATGTTCAGAAGTACATCTGGCACTGAATCAGCATCAGTGCTCCCGGACATTCCTGATTTTCTATTGGAGATGGATACCAAATGGCAGACACTTTGGTTCACGAAAGAAGCTTTATTGAAACCACTTAATTCCGAAAGTTTTGATTGGACGAAAGACTTGCGTGACATACTCCAAGACATTTTCTGGCCCGATGCTCACCGCAACTTGACTGTCCAAATATGCCATGGCAAAGGACAAATCCGAAATTACTATGTCCATTACTTGCTGGCCGGCAGAGGGATGTCGCTATATTAGCGCAAAATGCAGTGTAGGTTTCTGTCCAGCGCCTTGCGACAAGAGTCTTGCAACTCTAACTAATGATAGGCAACCGAAAAGTTGTTGCCTGGGAAAACCAGGCATCGATTTCTGAAAACGGGTACCAGTACCGCCTTTAAACCTCTTTTATAATTTCGGAAAATCTCTGTACGGAATCCCTATGGAACCAGCAACCTCTTTTGTGCTACCACTTGTGGAATCGCTGTGTAGAAAGAGGTCATTTTGGACTAAAAGCGTGTCTGGTACGGGATCTACAACGAATCTCAGCACTAGTACATCTACTTCACTCCCGAAACCATGCCTGGATAAAGGTTTCTTGTTTTCTGAAGAATATTTGAAGCGAATATGGTGCAGAACGTGGCTGGCTGACATTTCAAGTTGATATTTTACCTACAACATGGATAGAGCAGCAGGCGACTGGTAAGTGTCATCACCTGACATTTTGCAAAGCTAAACATATTACTGCACAGGTGAGGATTACCAAAATACAAATCAGAAAGTTTTTGCACCAATAAA